GAAAGTAAAATCAGGCATCAGGATGACAACAGTTTACCCTCATGGAGAGAAATACTCACCAGCTGTTCTCATATACTTTTCTTTCGAACATCCCCTCATTACCATTTTAAAATGTGTGCTTTTTCAGCTGCTCTCTGTTTCTGCAATTTGGCAAGTAAAGCTGATAGTGTTAGCCCCTATGTCCTAGTTCAGGTGCAAGACATGCTAGATCTTTGACAATTCAGGACTTGAGAGGGTGTACAGGAGGAAGAGGGGAAGGACAAGACAGTTATAGAATCTGGAAACCATCAATACCAGATCCTCAATGGGGAATGGGCATGGCAGTGAGGAATATAGGGAAATGCTTGAAAATCTGCAGGCTAGGCTGGCTGTGGTTGCTGTCCCTTGAACGAGGATTACCCTGTCTTCAGTTTGGAGGGTGGGATTTTATCCTAGAAGAGGATTCTGGAAAACAGTACAGAGGCAGAGTATCCAGACCCAATCAAAGGACTGGGTTCTGGGTTGGACTTGGATATCAGAACAGCAGGCTGCACAAAAGAGACAACTGTTGCTTGTGGCCTTCTGGAACACAGACACTAAAGTGGCACTTGGCTTAGGGGTCACATATAAGCTTTGGCTTTGCCCTGCTGAGACCAGGCTGGGGTTGAGGGAGTGGGGTCCACTGGCAGGCAGAACAAATACCAGCTGTCTTGTTGAGGCTTCAGTAATAATTTAAACCCCTATTGGCTGGCCTTGACTATTTACTGATTGAATTAGGAACTGGGGCCACCTGAATCTGAAGGATAGCGACTTCAAGCAATGCCCCTACAGAGACTTAGAGAAGACAGAGGCTGAGCTTTGTTGAGAATGTGACTCCCTTAAATATTATCTGCTGGACAGAATTATAAAGCAGAGGAACTTTCCTCTTTGGAGTCATCATCTCTTATACTTTGAACACTGCCTTAGACGAAGAGCGGATAGGGATTGGCTCTGAGAGCACCTTACCTTTTCACCCAGTCCACCCATGATCATTTTCATGGGTTTGCTAAGTAGGTGGCTGGATTCAAGAGTAGTCACTTAACATGGCATATAGAAAAACTAATGGGTTCAAATGGGACATTTGGACTTGGCCTCATTAACTTCAGGCATCAATCAGTTGAGCCAAACTCCCTCCCCTTGGTGGGAGGTAGTTTTGACAGCTGCTGGTGATTTAAGGAGACAGAAACAATGTGCACAGGAGTTCTGTCATAATTGGGGAAGGGTGTTGCTGAGGAAGGGAGTTGAGGGCAGGGTATGGAAGGGGCCATTGGTCAGCATTGTGTAAATACCAGGGCTTTGTTTGGAAGTAATAGTGAATGTGAAGCCACAAAACTTTACTTTTGAATTTCTGAAGGAGAGAAATCAGTCTTGTTTGAAAAGGATTTTTGGGTTCTAAACAGCATCCTACTTTTGAAAATGACAAAAATACCAGGACCAACTGAATTCAATAGTCATTTTTCTTAAGTCCTATGTTTTTTGGCCAGTACTACCTAAGGACCACACTTACACTTGGAACAGTGTTTGTGTCCTGCGAAACTCCCCACCAGTAATTAACATGATCTATAAATAATAAATAATGAGATTGTGATGATGATAATAAGCACCGAGGTACATTTCCGGGGCCTAAACTAATATGTTATTATCTGACTGAGAGAGCAGCTTCCTGTTGGGTTACTAAATTATTCTTTTTATTATATTTAAGGCACAATGTTTAGTAATTTACACCTCTTGTAATTAGGCTGGATGATTAGAGAAATCTTTCAGTGGTTCTGTTGTTTCCCACTAATAACACATTCACAGGGAGTATGAAGGTGATGCACTGCTTACTGAGTAGAGGAACATTTAGAGTTAGGTCATAACATTTTTACAAAGTGAAAAGAAATTGAAATCTTCTCCAGAGATTATCAGCAATTATGTCTGTATAAATATGCCACAACATTGTAAAGGCTTGTCCGTCTGCATGTTTGGGAAAATAGCAGCTCTTCAACATGTAACAACCTAGAGGGAGGTCAGACATCTCAAACTTCTGAAGCTTAGCTCTAAAATAGGCTTCAGGAGGGCAGAATCTGGCATTAGAGTGGTACCATTTTGGCTTTACCTATAGAGATTTTATTTTCAGAAGGAATATATACATATAATGTAAATATATATTAATATATTTATATCATATATTCATGTAATATATAATACATAGTATATATAACAGTAGACGCTCTATATACACAGTAAGTCTATACATAGATCCTACTGTTATATATATAGACCCTACTCTTTATATATATATATATATATATAGAGAGAGAGAGAGAGAGAGAGAGAGAGAGAGAGAGAGAGAGCGCGCATGAGAGAGACAGAGAGAAAAAGAGAGAGTCTGGATATAGTCTCTACTGTTACATAGCATTCCTTTCAGAGTTGACTCTAACATGCAGGCTGTTTTTGCATGGCCAAAGGTCATCCAGTATTCGATTATTTGCTAAGAGTCAAGGTTCTGATTGAAACCTTCAGCAGGTATCTATATCTGCAGATTTTTCCATGTAGAAAGTTTGGAAGAGGGGGAAGGGCAGACAAACACTATTTTTTAAAATCATACTTTGTGTGTGAGTGTACATGTCTATTCATCTGTGTGTATTTGGGAAAGATTATGGTAAGGGAAAGTAGAAAGCAGAAGGATACTGCACAAATAAACTTCCTACCCCAATTCCTAGCTCCTTCTTTAGTGAAGCTGAGACAAATATAGAACCAATTAAATTTCATTCACACATTAGGTTTTGGTAATTGAAGAGGGCGAAAGCATTGGAGTTGCTCTTTATTCTAACCTAGTAGTATTTGACTGCTATACTTTGGATGTTTGTGCCTACAAACCTCATGTTGAAATTTGACTTCCATGTTGGAGGTGGACCCTAGAGGGAGGTGTATGGGTCATAGAGGTGGATCCATCATGAATGGCTTGGTGCTGTCCTTGTGGTAATGAGTGGGTTATTGCTCTGTCAGTTCTGATGAGAGAACTGGTTGTTAAAAGGAGCCTGCCACCTCCCCCAACTTGTTTGCTCTCTTGCCATGTGATCTCTGCACATGCCAACTCCATTTTACTTTCTGCTGTGAGTGGAAGCAATCAGAGGCCCTCACCAGAAGCAGATGCTGGCACTTTGCACCATGTACAGCCTGCAGAACTGTGAGCCAAACAAACTTCTTCCTTATAAATTACCCAGTTTCATATATTTCTTTAAAGCAACACTGAAGGAACTAAGACAAAAATTGATACCAAGGAGTTGGGTGTTGTTACAAAAATGCCTGAAAATGTGGAAGTGACTTTGGAATTGGGGGTAATGAACAGAGAGAGAAGTTGGAGGGTTCAGAGGAAGATAGGAGGATGAGGAAAAGTTTAAAATTTATTAGATATTGGTTAAGGGGTTATGATTAAAATGCTGATAAAAATATAGACAGTGAAGGCTGTGCTGACAAGGTCTCACATAAAAGCAAGGAAGTTATTGGAAGCTGTAGAAAAAGTCACCCTTGTTATGCTCTAGCAAGACTTGTCTGCATTATGCCAATGCCCTAGGACTTTGTGGAAGGCTAAACTTAAGAGTGATGACCACGCCTGTAATCCCAGCACTTTGGGAGGCTGAGGTGGGTGGATCATGAGGTCAAGAGATCGAGACCATCCTGGCCAACATGATGAAACCCCGTCTCTACTAAAAATACAAAAAAAATTAGCTGGGCGTGGTGGCACATACCTGTAGTCCCAGCTACTTGGGAGGCTGAGGCAGGAGAATTGCTTGAACCCAGGAGGGGGAAGTTGCAGTGAGCCCAGGTCGCGCCACTGCACTCCAGCCTGCTGCCTGGTGACGGAGTGAAACTATGTCTCAAAAAAAAGAGTGATGACCTAAGGCTATCTGGCAGAAGGTATGTCTTAGCAGCATAGACTTCAAGAAGTGGCATGACTGCTTTTAATAGCTTACGATCAGGTATGGCAGCAAGGGAATTACCTAAAGGTGGAATTTTTAATTAAAAAGGAAGCAGAGCATAAAAATTTGGAAAATTTGCAGCCTGACCATGTGATAGAGAAAGGAGGAGTATTTTCAGGAGAGAAATACAAGGGTCCTTGGAGCAATCACTTGCTAGGGAGATTGGCATGGCAAAGGGGAGCCAGGTGCTAATAGTCAAGACAACAGTGATAAGGCCCTGAAGGCATTTTAGAAATATTTAATGCTGCCTGTCCCATTACAGGCCCAGAGACCTGAGAAAATAGAATGGTTTCAGGGTACAGGCCAGGGTGCTGCTACGTGGTGTCACCTCAAGATGCTGCTTCTCATATCCTCACTGCTCTGCCTCTAGACACAACTCAATGGTCTACAGGTACTGTTCTGGCCACCACTTTGGAGGACACAAGCCATAGATATTGGAAGCTTCCACATAATGTTAAATTGGTAGGCTTCTAGAATGCAGGAGTAATGGAAGTTTGGCAGCTTTCACCTAGTATTTTAGAGAATGTATGAGAATGGCTGAGTGCCCAGGCAGAGATCTGGTGCAGGGTGGCACCATCACAGATTGCTTCTACTAGGGAAGTGCCTAGTGGAACTCTGAGAATAGGGCCTCAATGTAATAAAGGCCATATATGACAAGCCTATAGCTAGCATCACACTAAATGTCACCATTGGTAGGAAAGCTTTTCCTGTAAGATTAAAAAAAGGAGGATGCCTACTCTTGCTACTTCTATTTGGTATAGTACTGGAAGTCCTAGCCACAGCAATTTGGCAGTTAGGCAAGAAAAGTAGCAAAAAGGCAACTAAATTAAAAATGAAGAAGTAAAATTGTCTCTGTTTTCAGATGGCATGATCTTATGTAATTAAGCCTTGAACAACATGAGTTTGAACTGTGCAGGTCCACTTCATATGTGAGTTTTCTTCTGCCTGTCACCACTGAGATAGCAAGATCAACCTCTTCTTCTTCTTCTTCTAAACCTACTTGACATGAAGATACAAGAAAGAAGATCCTTAATATGATCCATACCCACTTAATGAATAGTAAATAAATATTGCCTTCCCTATGATTTCTTAATATTTTTTCTAACTTACTCTATTTTAGTAATATATAATAATATACAAAATATGTATTGCTCAACTGTTTATGTTATCAGTAAGGCTTTCAGTCAATAGTTCACTATAAGAGAAAGCCTATAGAATGAGAGAAAATATTTGCAAACTACACCTTTGATAAGAGGTTAATGACCAAAATGTATAAGGAACTCAAATAATTCAATAGCAAGACATCGAAAAGCTTTATTAAAAATGGACAAAGGACCTGAATAGATATTTCTGTCAAGAAGATACAAACAGGTACATGAAATATGTTAAACATTAAAAATGGCCAACAGGTACATGAAAAAATGTTAAACATTATTAGTTAACAAAACCACAATGAAAGATCACCTTATACCTGTTACAATGGTCATTATTAAAAAGACAAAAGATAAATATTGAGGAGGTTGTAAAGAAAAGGGAATCCTTGTACACTGTTGATGGGAATGTGAATTGGTATAGCTATTATGGAAAAGAGTATGGAGGTTCTAAAAAAAGTTTAAAATAGAATTGTCATATAATTCATTAATCCCACTTCTGGGTATATATCCCAAGGGTATGAAATCGGTATCTTTAAGAGGTATCTGCATTCCCAAGTTCACTGCAGCATTATTCACAATAGCTAAGATATGGAGTCAAGTTAAGTTTTCACTGATGGATGAATGCATAAAGAAAATGTGAGATACACACACTCACTGACATACAATGGAATATTATTCTGCCTTAAAAAGTAAGGGAATTCTGACAGATGCTACAACATGGAGGAACCAAAGGACATTATGCTAAGTGAAATAAGCCAGACCCAGAAACATAAATACTTACATGAGGAATCTAGAAAAGTTAAACTCATAGAAGCAGAAAGTAGAATGGTGGCTAGTAGGGCCTAGGACTGGGAGAAATAAGAAGATATTGGCCAAAAGATACCAAGTTTCAGTTGTATAAGATGAATAAGTTCTAGAGATCTTATGTAGAGTGTAGTGACTATAGTTAATGATCGCACATTGTATATTTGAAATTTGCAAAAGGAGTAGACATTAAATGCTCTCATTCTCTCCACAAAAAAACATGGTAACTACGTGAAGTGATAGATATCTTAATTAGCTTGATATGGGTAACTATTTCATAACATACATACATAATATATATCAAAATATCACATTGTATACTTTAAATATATACAATTAAATAATATATATATGCAATTTTTATTTGTCAATTATACTTCAAAACAACTGGAAAAAATAAATCAAGGCTATTGTGTCCTAATGCCAGAACTCAAATTAATAACAAGCGGGGCTTCAGTTGAATATTGTGTTTTAAAATGTTTCTTGTGATTCATCATGTGTTATAGCACAGACGAGTCTCAACCTACAAGACACTTGGCATATATCAGCTTTTGGGAAGTCTATTTTCTTAGTGGTTATATTTAGCAACTTTGAGAACCTAGTGATTTTAGTTTTGAGAATTTGCTTTTGTATAATTTGGGTAGTTTTTCTCCTAGTATTAGAAAAAAGAATATTTTATTTTGTCTTGACAAAATTACATAAACTCATAAACATGAAGTTTCTTATAAAAATTTAATGGGTGTTGGCACCATGATTGTTCATGAAAAATATAGGAAATATAGTATAGTAAACTGAAATGACATAGTACTCCCATTTTAATGTTCACAGAGACATAACTCCAATAATTTTTATTTTATGCTGTTCATAGATTTTACTTTTCCTTGGTGTAACTCCAGCATTCTAAGAAAAGCCACTTATGTTAAAGGTGACATTGCTTTCTCTTTTGGAACATGCACTTGGCAACGAATTCATTAGCCAGACAGGTGTTTATGTCACTGTCAAATTGAAATTGCTAATTTTTTTGATTCTTCCTATGGGAATAACACAAGCTATTAGATGTTAATAAGCAGCAACTAACTTTCTATGACCTTTTGTAAGTTTGGGGGTCTGAAAGAAACAGCAAATATTATTTCAAGAGTTGGTTGCTATTGTTGTGTTCTCTCTACAAACTTAAAATGTCATGAGACCACAGGTAGCCTGAGATGAGTATGCTTAGGATACTCGTTGAAAACACTTTATTAAAAGTTTAACTAATGCAAGAGGCACTTGGGAGCCTCTCATGGGAAGGAAGACATCAAATAACACTTGAAGGAGTTGATTGTTTTTATATAAGTATATATAAGTGTTGGGAAGAAAAAAAAGTAAGAGGACTAAATTAGCAAGAAAATTGGAGAAGTTTGTATACAGGTAAAAATGATATGGATGGAGGCTGAAATAAAGGAGGTGGAGGGATACGTTTAAGTACTGTCATTCGACAGAACTTGGCATTGCTAGGCTAGTTATGCAGGGAAAACAAAAACAAAATCAAAGACGTCTCCAGGGTAAAGACATTAGGGAACAAACTGGAAATACCAGCCACTATAGGGAAGATAAGAAAAGGAATAATTAGGGAGGAAGCTATGTCTCACTTTAAATGGCAGCAAAACATTGGAGCGGAAAACCTGAACAGCTGGAGCTGGCAAGAAGCTTAGTAATCATTCAGACTGCTCATCCTAGAGATGAGGAGACTGAAGCATATACATTTCAATGACTTGCCTAGTTAGTGACACTTCTGGGACCACTACCTATGTCTGTTGGGTTGTGTTTTATAGCAAGTTGCCTTGTCAATGCCTTGTAGATAATGAAACAGAAGGGATATACTAGTGTTGTCGGTACCCATAGAGCTAGAAGTAAGAATTACACTTACAGGGTGGAGACCCAAGGTTTGAGTATGAAGCATGATTCTGGAACTGCTCCTGTGCAACCAGGCATCTAACTAGGGCGACATAATGGAAAGAACATTCAGGAAAGAACACTTAGCCAAAAACTACAGCAGTATTGTGCAACTGCAGGATCTTAGATGTGTGGGAGTTCCTGGGGAGCTCAAGCCAGAGGGGGAGTGCACAGGTTCTGGGGCTAATATTGAGGGTGTTTCATGTAGTTTTAATATACCTAAAAATTTTAAAGTAATCCTCTGGGAAGCCCAAGTATGGCCAATATGGGCCATTCTTATGATTGGGCCAGAAGTTTCAGTTGCCTTTGTCATCCTGACTAGAAATTTAGAAATTCGCTTGATGAGCTTGGCAACTTCCACTGAACCCTCAGGTAATAGTAGCAAAGACTCTGGGGTCTTAGTTCTGTGAGCTTGGCAGAAGCCAAGCTTGGCTATTTTGACAGTTTAATGGCCTTTCAGGGAGAAGTAGGGATGATGACTGTCATTATAGTCAATGACTCCAAGGGTTGATCTTGACTCTTTAGGGACTATGTTGGATGATCTCTCTCTGTTCTGAGTTTCAGAGAATCTCTGATATGGTTTGGCTGTGTCTCCATGCAAATCTCATCTCAAATTGTAGTTCCCATAATTCCCTCATATTGTGGGAGAGAACCAGTGGAAGATAATTGAATCATGGGAGACAATTGAATCTTGGGGGAGGTTTCACCCATACTGTTCTTGTGGTAGTAAATAAGTCTCACAAGATCTGATGGTTTTGTAAGGTGAAACCCCTTTCACTTGGCTCTTATTCTTCTCTTATCTGCCACCATGTAAGATATGCCTCCCACCTTCTGCCATGATTATAAGGCCTCCCTAGCCATGTGGAGGTGTAAGTACATTAAACCTCTTTCTTTTGTAAATTGCCCAGTCTTGGGTATGTTGTTATCAGCAGTGGGAAAAGAGATTAAAACCATCTCCTTCAGCCTCATAGAAAACTTTCTCTGTGAGCTATGTCTGAGGGCAAACTTCCAGCTCTCTTTAGCAGTTCTCAAAAAGCTTTTCTGGGCTGAACCATCATGTCACCTGCCAGTCTTTTAAGTAGAGAAGGCATCTGAAACTGACTTATAAATGCATGGATTATTAACATGATAGGACTGGTTTTGGAGAGCTTGTTAAAGAAATAATTTCAGTGCAGTATGCCTAGTAGTAAAGTGCATTCAGACTTGACTTTGGCACCTGCTAGTTTTGTGATCTTGGGCACATTGTCTAGCCCTTTTGAATTTGAATTTCTTCATCTGTAAAAGGGATATAATAAAAATACTTTTCTCAGTAAGATTTGAGAATAATTAAATATGATCATGCATATGAGGTGCTTAACATTGTGGAGAAACTCACAGGGAAGAATTTATTCAATTAAATGTTATTATTTTTGTGACTTCTGGTAAGTAAAGGTCCTGGGCTATATTTGAAGAATCCCTCAAGATTTTCAGTCCTGGAGTGCTGTGCATCTTCAACCAGCAACCTGGTTAAAATGTCATGAAACCATAGGTGGCCTCAGATGAGGCACTCAAAATATATCAGAAAAAATGTTCCCAGGCCTAAAGGAAATCCACTGATTCCAGTCTTTGTGAATTCAGAAGGAAGGAAGAACAGAAAAGCAAGAGGTGAACTGAGCACCACTTCCAGGGAAATAGGATCCGTGAGTTGCTGTAAGGCTCTAAATGCTGGAATTAACTGGTTCCAAACATTGCATTACCGGGAATCCCAAGGATGAGATCATTGGTTCTGGACACTAATAGGAACAAAAGTATTTGGATATCTAGGGAGAGAGAGGTTTAGAAAATAGCCAAGCTTCAGCGGCCCAGAGGTAAGAGGAAGGGACTATGCCAAGTGTTTATAGGCAGTGAAACCAGTGGGCTTCAATAAAGGATAGGAAGAAGCAGCTTTGCTTACTGGGGAGACCCAGGGGCCAGGGTCCTGACATCATAAGAAATCACTGAAAACCAATTTCCAATATGGTCTGAGTAGTGTTTCTGGAGACGTGGACCAATGTGGGATAAAGGCTGGGGTATTATTCCAAACTGCCAGGCCTGGTTGGTTGAACTGGTGTAGCAGCACAGGGAAGACTGGCCTGTTCTAGGAGATTCTGAACACAGAAAGAATTCCTGCTGACCATGGAGGTATTAAGAATAACAGCAGTGTCATCAACAAAATACTAGCAAACTGAATTCAACAATACATTAAAAAGATCATTCATTATGACCAAGTGGGATTTATCCCAAGGATGCAAGGATGACTCAACATATACAAAGAAATCAATGTGATACATCATATCAACAGAATGAAGGACAAAAACCATATGATCATTTCAATTGATTCTGAAAAAGCATTTAATGAAATTCAACATTACTTCATAATATAAAACCCTCAAAGAACTGGGTATAGAAGGAACAAACCTCCACATAATAAAAGGTGTATAAAACAGACTCACAGCTACTACCACACAAAGTTGGGGAAAACTGAAATCCTTTCTCTAAAACCTGGAACAAGACAAGGATGCCCACTTTCACCATTGCTAATCAAAATAGTACTGGAAGTCCTTGCTAGAGCAACAAGACAAGAGAAAGATATAAAGGGCATCCAATTTGGAAAAGAAGAAATCAAATTATCCTGGCTTTCAGATGACATAATCTTATATTTGAAGAAACCTGTATACTCCACCAAAAAGCTATTAGAACTGATGAACACATTCAGGAAAGTTGCAGGATGCAAAATCAAAATGCAAAAATCAGTAGCATTTCTATATGCCAGCACTGAACACTCTGAAAAAATTTTTTTTAAATCTCTTTTACAATACCCACAAATAAAATTAAATGCCAAAGATTTAACTTAATCAAAGAAGTCAAAGATTTCTACAATGAAAACTATAAAACACTGAAGAAAGAAATTTAAGAGGATATAAAAAAATGGAAGCATATTTCATGTTCATGGTTTGGAAGAATCAATATTGTTAAAATGTCTATACTAACCAAAGTAATGTACAGAATCAATGCAATCCCTACTAAAATGCCAATGAAATTCTTCACAGAAATAGAAAAAACAATCCAAAAATTTATTTGGAACCATGAAAATATTTAGAATGACCAAAGTTATCCTGAGAAAAAAGAACAAACCTGGAGGAATCACATTATCTGACATCAAATTATACTATAGAGCAATAGTAACCAAAACAGCATGGTACTGGCATACAAAAAGACACATAGACCAATGAAGCAGAGTAGAGAACCCACAAACAAATCCATACATCTACAGTGAAGTCATTTTCAACAAGGATGACAAGGACATACATTGGAAAAAAGATAGTCTCTTCAATAAAGTGTGGTGGGAAAACTGGATATTCTTTTGCAGAAGAAAGTAGACCCCTATCTCTTGCCATATACAAAAATCAATTCAAAGTGGATTAAAGACATACATCTGAGACCTCAAACTATGAAACTCCTAAAAAAAAACTGAGGAAAATATCCAGGACTTTTGTCCTGGCAAAGATTTCTTGAGTAATACCACACAGGCACAGGCAGCCAAAGCAAATGTAGACAAATAGGATCATATCAAGTTAAAAAGCTTCTGCACATTAAAAAAAAATCAACAAAATGAAGAGATAACATACAGAATGGGAGACAATATTTGCAAACTACCCATCTGACAAGGGATTAATAACCAGACTATATAAGCGGCTCAAACAACTCTATAGCAAAAATAACAATAATCTGATTAAAAATTAGCAAAGTATCTGAATAGACAACTCTCAAAAGAAGAAATACAAATGACAAACAGACATAATGAAAAGGTGCTCAGTGTCGCCGATCATCAGAGAAATGAAAATCAAAACTACAAGGAGATATTATCTCACCTCAGCTAAAATGGCTTATATCCAGAAGACAGGCAATAAATGCTGGCGAGGATATGGAGAAAAGGGAACCTTTGTACATGATTGGAGGGAATGTAAATTAGTACAAGCACTATGGAGAACAGTTTGGAGGTTCCTCAAAAAACTAAAAATTGAGGTACCATATGATCCAGCAATCCCACTGCTAGGTATATGCCCCAAAGAAAGGAAATCAGTATATTGAAGAGATGTCTGCACTCCTGTGTTTACTGCAGCACTATTCGCAATAGCCAAGATTTGGAACCAACATAAGTGTTCATCAACAGATGAATGGATAAAGAAAATGTGGCACATATACACAATGAAGTACAATTCAGCCATAAAAAGAATGAGATCCTGTCATTTGATAAGTGAAATAAGCCAGACACAGAAAGACAAATTCCACATGTTCTCATTTATTTGTGGGAGCTAAAAATTAAAATGATTGAACTCATGGAGATGGGGGTAGAAAGATGGTTACCAGAGGCTGGGAAGGGAAGGGAGGGGTTGGTAAGGAGAAAGGGGGGATGGTTAGTGGGTATGGAAATAGAAAAAATGAATAAGCCCTAGTACTTCATAGCACAATAGGGTGACTATAATCAATAATAATTTAATTGTACATTTAAAATTAACTAAAATAATACAATTGGATTATTTTTATAACACAAAGGATAAATGCTTGAGAGAATAGATATCACATTTTCTATGATGTGATTATTATGCATTGCATGCCTATATTGAAGTATCTCATGTACCCCATAAATATATAGACCTATGTACCCACAAAATTAAAATATTTTTTAAAAAAGCAGTAACAACAATGATCAATAGTGTCTTCCCTTTGCCCAGAACTTTGCAAAATGCTTATTTTGAGGTTTAAAAAATGTAATTATTTTACTTAACCAGAGTTAGGTTTCCCCCCCAAAAGGAATTGAAGTGTACTAAATGCTTTTGCTAATGGCTTGAGGAGTGCAAGACTAGGCCTCAAGTATATTAGTTTTGAAAAGATAACATAGAACTGAGGTATTTTACATCAACAGACATAAATTTTGGGTGGTGGGAAAGATGAACAGTGAGCTATACTAGGGAGAGAGGACACCAATAAGGTCAAACACCATATTGTAGGAGCCTAATGCCTGCCTTGGTAAATATGGCCCAGAAAATATTAAACTGTGAAAGCTAATATTTAGCCTTAATTTTTTTTTCTGTGTTGTAATACCTATTCTTTTCTTTAAACTTTTAATGATGTTTGGTAATCACTCAGCGGCCTTGATGAATGTGACTGAGTGTATGTGCAAGTTGGTGGGGGGCATGATCTGAGTCATGTGGCTTGGGTTATTCGGTGACAAATCACCCCTTCAGCCAGCTTTCTGTACTATGTGGAGAATGAGTAGGGGAAAGAGAAAAGGAGCTCAGAATGGTTTGTCTCTTAGATGTTTCATTTCTTCAACAAGTTAAGGTAGAAAAAATACATATATATATTTTAAATGTTGAATATTTCTTTCAATAAAAATTTATTTTACAGAATTTTTTACAATAGCCAGTTTTCCTAGATACTTAATAATTGCTTCCTATTATAAAAGAGAAACTCAATTGAGGGAGACCTTCAGCAGTCACTGTCAACAGATGAGACAGGCTGACATCTGCGTCTTCTGTTAGGGATCTTAGAGCCCATTAACAGCTCTGCCCATAGACCACAATTACCCACATTCTATTATCATTTCTGTAGTCCAGAAATAAATTATTTTACATCTTTAATTCTCCAGAGATTGTTATACAAAGTGGTACCAAATCATTGTAAAATGGTTTCAGATCTTTTTATTTTATTGTATTTTATTTTTTTGCAGGGGTAGGGGAAGCTTGGCATTCTAATTAGTCATTTCTTTTTATCTTCCAACGTATATTGTCTTAACCTTCCTTGGGTTCCAAATACCACTTTCAAATGGCAACCTTTCCAAATCTCTGTGTGGTCAAACAAGGCCTTCCCCTCCTCCTCGTTTGCAGTCCGTTTGTGATCCACCCCTGTTTTCTGCTTAAAATGAGATTGTTAATGATGTTTACACCACTGCTGCTTTGAAAAATAGTGAGAGCTTCCGCATCTGCTCTTGCATCCTTATGAATATTTTTTTCCAGTTAAAAAAGCTTTTTATGCCAGTGGACAAATAAATTTACCTTAAAAATCTAAACTATATAAAGTTTTAATATATAATTTCCTTTTTCAATCTTCTTTCATTTGTAGCTATAACACATTTTTCTTTCACTGGCTACTTATACTTTTATTTCTTAAACATCAAATTCCAAATACAATACTTAAAGAACAATGTGCCCATAAATTATTAGCTTTTCTTTTCCTTAGAACTCTTTGTTCTAATTTTCTTTTCATTAAAATTCTATCTGACAATTTTCAGTGATGTCAGACTATTTGGCCTTTAATATGAATGATCTTTGAATATAAGAGACATTCAAAGCAACTCTGACTGATAAATTTGCTTCCTTAAAAATGTTTTTGGGGTGGAGCCAAGATGGCTAACCAGAAACAGCAATGTTCGGAGGCTCCCATTGAAAAAAAAACATAATAAGTGTGTGAATCCTTCACTGGCAACCAAGGTATCCAGGTTCTCTCCTCAGAGCTGACTAGGAGGCTGATATGACCCATGGAGAGAAGGAAGAACAATGTGGTGTGGCGGCCCACCTGAGAGCCACACAGGAAAGGGGAGCCTCATCCCTCCAGCCAAGGGAGGTGGTGAATGAGTGTGCTACCCAACCAAGGAAACCATGCTTTCTCCACAGAATGGTGCAATCCACAAATTGGAAGATCCCATTTGCGAACCCATGCCACCAGAGCCTAGGGTCCCAATCCTGGAATGTGCAGACTCTTAACAGCCTCTCAACTGGAATCTGCTTAAGCCTACCAAACTCCTGAGGAAAAGGGGCACCAGCACCACAGCTGCAGCTGCCTGCTGTCAAAGTTGTTTGAGCTCCTTGGGGGAGGAGCAGCAGCCAGCACTGGGACTGTCTAATAAGCTAAGCTCCCTGGGTACAGGGAGTGCAGCACCCATCTCTAAAGCCACAGGCTTTGCTTTCCCCCTGCTGGAACCAGGAAGGCTGGATGGCTTGGTCCCAAGCCTTGTTCTCCATGGCCCAACACACCAGCTGTGGCAGTCTGTAGCCAAGTTCCTCTTCAGGCCTGACCCTGACCCATCCTTTCTCACTGGGCAGAGCTTCCCTGTAGGAACTCCAATACCTCCAGCCACAGGCTTAGGGGCAGAACCTGGATCTCCCTGGGCTTGAGGCTCTTGGTGAGAAGTGGCCACAGTCTCTGTGGACCAGCAGACTTAGCCTTCTCTCCTGACAGTTCTGAGGAATCTGGGCAGCCCAGATGAGTGGGTTTCCCCCTGGTTGGGCACACCCCTTCCACCAGTGGATAAAGTGCTTCATTTAATGGGTCCTGTTCCCCATGCCACCCAACTGGGTGAGACCTCCAACAGGGCTTGTAGACACCCTATACAGAAGTGATCCTACTGGTATCAGTTTGGTGACTTTTGAGGTCAGAGGTCCCAGAAGAAGGAGCCCGCCTCCATTTTGGCTGTTCTCCAGCCTCTTTGAGTGACATCTCCAGGTAGAAGTGAATCAGATGAATAGGAGCTGAAGTGAACTAGAAAGCTGCAGCAGCCCTACAGAAGAGAGACCTGACCGTTTAAAGAAAAACAGACAAGCAGAAAGCAATAACAGCATCAAACAACAACAACAATTGAGCGTCATCAACAACAACAACAACAACAACAACAACAAAGCCCCCACAAAAATCCCATCCAAGGGTCAGCAGCCTCAAAGACTGAAACTAGAGAAACTCATGAAGATGAGAAAGAATTGACAAAAAATGCTGAAAACAAAAAAGGCCAGAGTGCCTCTTCTCCAAATGATCACAATGTCTCTCCATTAAGGGCACAGAACTGGACAGGGAATCAGATGGATGAATTGACAGAAGTAGGCTTCAGAAGATGAGTAATAAAAAACAATGCTAAGCTAAAGAAGTGTGTCCTAACCCAATGCAAAGAAGATACGAATCTTGACAAAAGGTTAGAGCAATTGCTAACTAGAATAACCAGTTTCGAGAGGAACATAAATGACCTGATGGAGCTGAAAAACACAGCATAAGAACTTCATGAAGCATACACAAGTATTAATAGCCGAATAGACCAAGCAGAAGAAAATATATCAGAGTTTGAAGACAACCTCACTGAAATAAGACATGTAGACAAGAATAGAGAAAAAAGAATGAAAAGCAACTAACAAAGCCTCTAGGAAGTATGGGACTTCATAAAAAGACTGAGCCTATGATTGATTGGAGTACCAGAAGATGGGGAGAATGGAAGCAAGCTGAAAACACACTTCGAGCTATTATCCAGGAGAATTTCCCCAACCTAGCAAGATGCAAATTCAAGAAATACAGAGAACACCATTAAGATACCCAATGAGAAGATCAACCCCAAGGCACATAAGCATCAGATTCTCCACAGGAAAAATGAAGAAAAACCTGTTACAGGCAGCCAGAGAGAAAGGCAAGTTCACCTACAAAGGGAAGCCCATCAGACTAAGAGTGGACTTCTCAACAGACACTCTAAAAGGCATAAGAGATTGTGGATTAATATTCAACATTCTTAGAGAAAAAAGTTTTCAACCTGTGAAATTCATATCCAACCAAACTAAAAATTTTATATCCAGCCAAACTAAGTTTCATAAGTGAAGGAGAAATAAAACCTGATAAGCAAATGCTGAGGGATTTCATTACCACCAGGCCTGCCCTGCCAGAGCTCCTGAAAGAATCACTAAACATGGAAAGGAAAAACTTGTACCAGCCATTACAAAAACACACCCAAATATAAAGACCAATGGCACTACAAAGAAACTACATCAACTAGTGTGCTAAACAACCAAAGAGCATTATGATGACAAGATCAAATTCACATATAACAATACTAACATTAAATGTAAATGGGCTAAATACTGCAGTTAGAAAACATAGACTGGCAAATTGGATAAGGAGTTAAGACCCATCGGTGTGCTGTATTCAGGGGACCCACCTCATATGCAAAAACACACACAGACTCAAAATAAAGGGATGAAGAAAAATTTACCGAGCAAAGGGAAAACAGAAAAAAGCAGGAGTTGCAATCCTAGTCTCTGACAAAATAGACTTTAAACCAACAAAGATCAAAAGAGACAAAGAAGGGCATTAAATAATGGTAAAGTTAACAATTCAACAAGAAGTGCTAACTATTCTAAATATATATGAACCCAATACAGAAGTACCCAGATTCATAAAACAAGATCTTAGAGACTTACAAAGAGATGTAGACTCCCATACAATAATTGTGGGAGACTTTAACACCCCACTGTCAGTATTAGATCAATGAGACAGAAAAATAACAAGGATGTCAGGACTTGAACTCAGCTCTGGAGCAAGTGGACCTAATAGACATCTACAGAGGTACAAACAGGAGCTGGTACCGTTTCTCCTAAAACTATTACAAATAATAGGAAAAGAGGGAATCCTCCCTAACCCATTTTATTAGACCAACATCATTCTGATTCCACAACCTGTCAGAGACACAACTTAAAAGGAAAATTTCAGGCCAATATCCCTGATGAGCAGTGATGTGAAAATCCTCAATAAAATACTGGCAAACTGAATCTAACAGCTTATCAAAAAGCTTATCCATCACAACCAAGTCGGCTTCAACCCTGGGATGCAAGGCTGGTTCAACATACACAAATCAATAAACATAACCCATCATATAAACAGAACCAAAAATAACCACATGATTATGTCAATAGATGCAGAGGAGGCCTTTGACAAAATTCAATAGCCCTTTATGCTAAAAACTCTCAATAAACTAGGTATTGATGGAATGTATCTCAAAATAATAAGAGCTATTTATGACAAATCCACAGCCAATATCATACTGAATAGGCAAAAACTGGAAGCATTCCCTTTGAAAATCCGCACAAGACAAGGATACCTTCTCTCACAACTCCTATTAACATAGTTTTGGAAGATATGGCCAGGGCAATTAGGGAAGAAAAAGAAATAAAGGGTATTCAATTAGGAAAGAGGAAGTCATATTGTCTTTATTTGCAGACCATGTGATTGTATATTTAGAAGACCCCATTGTCTGAGTCCAAAAACCTCCTTAAGATGATAAGCAACTTCAGCAAAGTCTCAGTAAACAAAATCAATGTGCAAAAACAAAACAAACAAACAAAAAAAAACCAAGCATTCCTATACACCAATAACAGACAAACAGAGAGCCAAATAATGAGTGAATTCCCATTCACAATTGCTACAAAGAGAATGAAATATCTAGAAATACAATTAACAAGAGATGTGAAGGACCTCTTCAAGGAGAACTACAAACCACTGCTCAAGGAAATAAGAGAGGACACAAACAGATGGGAAAATTTTCCATGCTCATGATTAGGAAAAATCAATATTATGACAATGACCATACTGCCCAAAGTAATTTATAGATTGAATGCTATCCCCATCATGTTACCATTGACTTTCTTCAAAAAATTGGAAAAAAACACCTCAAATTTCATATGGAACCAAAAAAGAGCCTGCATAGCCAAAAGAATTCTAAGCAAAACAAAAATAAAGCTGGAGGCCTCATGCTATCTGACTTCAAACTATACTACAAGGCTACAGTAATCAAAACAGCATGGTACTGGTACCAAAACAGAGATGTAGATCAATGGAACAGAACAGAGACCTTGGAAGTAACACCACACATCTACAACCATCTGATCTTTGACAAAACTGACAAAAACAAGCAATGGAGAAAGGATTTCCTATTTAATTAATGATGTTGGTAAAACTGGCTAGTCATATGCAGAAGGCTGAAACTGGATCCCTTCCTTACACCTTATACAAAAATTAATGCCAGATGGATTAAAGCCTTAAACATAAGGCCTAATACCAAAAGAACTCTGGGAGAAAACCTAGACAGTCCCATTCAGATAGAACATGGGCAAGGACTTCATGACTGAAACACCAAAAGCAATGGCAACAAAAGCCAAAATATGCAAGTGGGATCTAATTAAACTTAAGAGCTTCTGCACAGCAAAATAAATTATCATTAGAGTTAAACTGGCAACCAACAGAATGGGAAAAAATTGCAATCTACCCATCTGACAAAAGGCTAATATCCAGAATCTATAAAGAACTTAAATATATTTATAAGAAAAAAAACCAACCCCATCAAAAAGTGGGTGAAGGATATGAACAGACACTTCTCAGAAGGAAACATTTATGCAGCCAACAAAAATGAAAAAAAGCTCATCATCACTGGTCATTAGAGAAATGCAAATCAAAACCACATTGACATACCATCTCACGGCAGTTAGAATGGCAATCATTAAAAAATCAGGGACAACAGATGCTGGAGAGGATGTGGAGCAATAGGAACACTTTTACACTATTGGTGGAAATGTAAATTAGTTCAACCATTGTGGAAGACAGTGTGGTGATTCCTCAGGAATCTAGAACTAGAAATTCCATTTGACCCAGCAATCCTATTACTGGGTATATACCCAAAGGATTGTAAATCATTCTATTATAAAGACATATGCACACGTATGTTTACTGAGGCACTGTTCACAATAGCTAAGACTTGGAGCCAACCTAAATGCCCATCAGTGATAGAATAAATGAAGAAAATGTGACACATATACATCATGGAATACTATGCAGCCATAAAAAGGATGAGTTCAAGTCCTTTGCAGGTACATGGATAAAGCTAGAAACCATCATTCTCAGCAAACTTATACAAGAACAGAAAACTAAACACCACATGTTCTTACTCAGAAGTGAGTGTTGAACAATGAGAACACATGGACAAAGGGCAAGGGAACATTATGTACTGTGGTCTGTCAGTGGAGGGGCTAGGGGAGGGAAGGCAGGGGGTGGGAGAATAAGGGAGGAATAGCATTAGGTGAAATACCTCATGTAGATGACAAGGTGATGGATGCAGCAAACCACCGTGGCACATGTAAACCAATGTAAAAAACATGCATGTTCTGCACATGTACCCCAGAACTTAGAATATAATAATAAAATGATAATGGGGATCACCACTGATCCCACAGAAATACAAACTACCATCAGAGAATACTATAAATACCTCTATGCAAATAAACTAGAAAAAATCTAGAAGAAATGGATAAATTCCTCCCAAGGGGTGAAAACCCTGAATAGACCAATGACAAATTCTGAAATTGAGGCTGGAATTAATAGCCTACCAACCAAAAGAAGCACAGGACCAGAGGGATTCACAGCTGAATTCTACCAGAATTATGAAGAGGAGCTGGTAACATTCCTTCTGAAACTATTCCAAACAATAGAAAAAGAGGGCGTCCTCCCTAACTCATTTTATGAGGCCAGCAGCATCCTAATGCCAAAATTGGGGAGAGACACAACAAAAAAAGCAAACTTCATGGCAATATCCCTAATAAACATTGATGCAAAATCCTCAATAAAATACTGGCAAACCAAATCCAGCAGAACAGCAAAAAAACGTATCCACCATGATCAAGCTGGCTTCATCCCTGGGATACAAGCCTGGTTCAACATATGTAAATCAATAAACATAATTCATCACATAAACAGAACAAATGACAAAAACCACATGATTATCTCAACAGATGCAGAAAAAGCCTTTGATAAAATTCAACCTTCCTTCACGTTAAAAACTCACTACAAACTAGGTATTGGTGAAACATATCTCAACAGAATAGGAGCTTTTTATGACAAACTTACAGCCAATATCATATTGAGTGGGCAAAAACTGAAATCATTCCCCTTGAAAACTGGGCAAGACCAGGATGCCCTCTCTCATCACTCCTATTCAACATAGTATTGGAAGTTCTGGCCATGGCAATCAGGCGAGAGAAAAAAACAGTGTATTCAAATAGGAAGAGAGAGAGTCAAGTTGTCTCCACAGGCAAAATGATTTTATAGTTGGAAAATCCCATCGTCTGAGCCCCAAAACTCCTTTAACTGATAAGCAATTTCATCAGAGAAGGTATAAATCAATGTGCAAAAATCACAAACATTCTTTTAACCAACAGTAGGCAAGCAGAGATCCAAATCATGAATGAACTCCCATTCACAATTGCCACAAAGAGAATAAAATACCTAGGAATAGGGCTAACAAGGGATGTGAAGGACCCCTTAAAGAAGAACTACAGGCCAGGCATGGTGGCTCACGCCTGTGATTCCAGCACTTTGGGAGGCCGAGGCAGGTGGATCATGAGGTCAAGAGATCGAGACCATCCTGGTCAACATGGTGAAACTCCGTCTCTACTAAAAATACAAA